AATTGTTTTTGAAAAGCCTCTTGATGCAATAGTAGTGAGAGTTGAATTTTTCAGGTCTCTTCTGCATGTTTTTTGGTTTATGAAGAGGAGTCCAAGAACTTAGGTTATAAATGACTGTGAACTTGTGAATGATACAATGGTGGTCTAAAGGGTTAATTTTGGTTCGTGTCAGATTGATTTTCAAGACTAAACAACCATAATTTTGGGATTGCAATGAGAGAAAATGCGACAACCATAGAATATCAGGATTAAGATCTATGAAGGTTTTATGATCAAGAGGGATTTAAGAACAGATTCAGACTTGTGGTTTTGATTTGTTAGGATTTTTTTTTTAAAATGACCAGGCTAGGGAATGCTTTGCACCTTGATTTATATGTGTTTCATGCTAGGGAGGATGTTGCATCGTACCCCAGGTCCAGTTCTCATCATAAAGTAAAATTTAAACCTAAACTACAAGCTAATCACAAGCTAGATGGAAATGATTTTTTTATATAGATAGATATTGATTTTGACACATGCACTAATCCACTCATTCATGTGCCATGTGCTCGCAACATACACACGACAAACAATAGGATAACAATAGGCATCACAAGTTTGTGATGAACAATGAATCCATGGGCATGACAAAAATAATCTCGGTGGTCAAAATTGCGGTCATGGAGAAGGGGAACTTGTCTTGGAAAACAAAGTGGAGTGGTCAGCTAGCCAAAGGGTGAGAGGATGCTTCACGAGTCATTAGCAGTGAAGAGCTTGACATGAAACACTGCACTCGAGTGGGCTATCCATCGAGAAGAGAGGTTTCTCCCTTTGAGAGGAATCAAAATGCTTTTATTTTTAAATCTGAAAGGCTTTCCAATATGGCGTTTAGATGAAGGTGGTTCCAAGATAACATGGCAGAATTGTGAGTCACCTCTCTCATGTAGTTGTCATCCGTGGGGTTCACTGGCTGCCAGCTAAAAAGAAATTTAGCACTATGTCTATTGTATTGTCTGTGTAACACCCCAGAGCATCAGCAGAAAAATAATACGAGGTTAGGCAACATCGGCGACCCGTGTATGAAACAAGTTTCACATGTGTCAAGCCTGTGGGCTTCAATCATATAGCAATTCTCAAACTAGTACTTGCCAATGATAGAAGTTCTGAGCAAATCTACATAATACTGATCCTAAACACATGCTTAAAAGATGGTCTTATACCTGATCATTACATCTTTGTTGGCTATTTAAAGTATCAAAACAACGACTTCAAGCTATGGCATCTCCTAGAAATTATGTTGAATTGAAATCTACTTGTATCATAGCCATGTGGAATCTTAAAAAAGCGAAAAACGACGAGGTGAGCTAAAGCTCTAAGCACATTATTCTACACTAGTGAGTTTGAATAACTTCATAGAATAACTCAATAACCATATCGATCTTTATGATGTTGGTACTTACTAATGTTTCAAATCAATCTTCCAAATTATGCAAGAATAGATAAAAGCACTTGTAACATATGCTAGGAAAAATAATATAAAATTCAATCATTCCAAAATAAAAGCTTATCGTATGTCATTTGTTATGATTCTTATGAACCACTTTTATGATTCCATAATATCACAAGAATATCGAGTATACCAAATCGTGCATAGAAGATGATTGTCCATTTCTTAATCATTTCATTAATCACTTGGAAGACATTGATTCTCTATAAACATATAATTTGTAAATTCCTCTTAGTCCTAGCGGTCACATTAAGGCTACAAATTATTGCCCAGCAGCATAGAATGCGAGTACTCATCACTTAATAGTGTTTCTTGGAAATAGAATGCATAATATTGCCAGTTTGCTAAATGACCACTTTAGTTAATCCAAAAGGGCCACACCACTTGTGCCAAATAAAGGACATCGCTTGTGCTGGTAAGGCCACATCAGTTCTATCGATTAGGTCGCTTCACATTTACTGATAAGGCCACATCACTTGTGCCGATAAGGCCACTTCGCTTGTACCGGTAAGACTACATCACTTTTGCTGGTAAGACAGTATTACTTTTGCCAATAAAGCCACTTCATTTTTACAATAAGATCATTTCACTTTTGCCAATAAGACCGCTTAACTTTTGCTAATAAGGCCACATCACTTATGCCCAGAAGGTCACATCACTTGTGTCGAGAAGGCTACATCACTTATGCTAATAATTACGCATTCACATCACTTATGCACATCATTTGCTCAAAATTGAGTAAAACACTTTCAAACTAATGATGAATATAAATCACAAAATCAATTAACCAAGTTATGAAAAATTAAATTTTGCTTTACTGTTGCACTTTCCGAACTCAAATCAATGATAAACCTTTAAATCTATAGAACTTTCAATAACGCATTTCAGTCTTTTGCATTTTCTCCACTATCACGAAAATAGAAAAGAATATTTTGTTTAGTGATAACACATGGATAATGTGAACTCTTAACATTTTACCTAAGTACTATTAATATCAAAACTCAATCGCATGAGCAAACACTTTGAGGTTGATGATGAGCATAAGAACTCATAATAACAATAACAATGTTCAAGAAATTCACTTTTATTAATTTTTCTCTTAATATCAAATTACAGAAACTCATGTAATGTCCGTAACATTGTCAAAAACAAACTCAAATCCCTTTCTTTCTCAAATATCTTGAGATAAAACAAAATTCATATATATTAAAGAAGATGGACACTTATCACTTTCATTTACTATTTCACTTAGAAATATTGAATCCAAAAAAAAAAAAGCATATGGAAGCTATCAATAATTCTTTCTCAAGATCATTAAGTAAAATAATCTCATTTCACAATATATAGCATATTCACTCACACTTTTAAATTTATGAATAAAGGAAAAAAACGTAGGATAGTGATTATTTTTGTGGCAACAATGACAAATTATCAAATGACATATATTTCTTATGTAATTTGTTTCGAAAATAACTAGTGAGAACAATGCAATTACCTTCTAAGGTTTGTACGTTCAATCCATAGTTACATAAGAATTGTAAGATGGTACAATGGGGGATCTAGGGAATTGCGCAACTATGGTTCAATCTGGTCATTTGATCTCAGTAAGGCTCTTTAGTATAAACTTGAAGTTATTATGAATAAATCAACTTTTACTATAAATCAACCATTCTATGTCCATATTAGTTCAAACAGTAGTCAAGACTTATAAAAGAGCTATACAAATATCTCTTCTTATTCTTAGAAATCTATTCACATTAAAAGGTCTTCAATCATTTTGGACCTTCATGAAGACTCTCAAAAATTTCAGGGGACTTAACCAATGTAGAGCAAAACCCGTTCTGAAACCCGTTGTAACCTGTTTCGACACTAACGAAGCCAAAGTGTTATAAAACTCGGACAAAAAGCCCATGTTTGCATTTAACATAGACAATAACAATGAAAGTGCGTTTTATCTGTGTTACGTTAAGCGTTATTTAACGCCTTGTTAAATTGAGTTAAATGGATGAGATTTGGATGCATGGCGATATCTCTACTCTTCAAATCAGTGTCACGACTCACGCTAACCTAAATAAGTTCCTAATCAAATTCCTGACTATAATTTTATACACGTGAAACATCCTAGCGGTCTCTCCGACCCTATCTCCAGTGCCTCCCTCATATATTCTTCCTCCTCTCACGCCTTTGACATAAAAGAGAACCTCCTCATCTCTTCTACCTCTCGCGCCTTCCACAAAGATGAAACCTCTATCTTCACTGTCGACAAGGCTTCTTCTAGTCCCTCCTCGGCTCTCGCATCTCCTCTTGCCAACGAAGATAATCCTAACCTCATCTCCACTTCCGGTGCTTCTCCAACTTCTAAACCCTACCCCTCTCGACGAAGATGAATCTTAATCCTAACTCCTCTTCTAGCCCTGCCCCATATTTGAAATTTTTTATAATTCTAATTATTAAAGTCATTATGAACAATTTGTATTTATAAAATATTTAAATAATTAGCAAACGAAAGAACCAACATTATGCATTATATTTTTTTGTGTTTTTCCAATTAACCCTTAACAAGAGGTAGAGCGTTACATTGGGCGTTATCGTTATTTTCAACATTGGTCTTAACGAATTTTCCATTCAAATATTTAATCTTTATACAAACGATCCTTTGCCCTCTTTCTATTTTTTTTTTGTCACAATGACCACCTCCCGTGGCCTAAGATCGGTTGTGGTGGCTAGACGATGGTGGAGGCATTGCCAGCCACCGGAGATAGCCGCTGGCGAGGCCTCATCGGGAAAGATCTCCCTTTTTCCTTTGTAACTTTTTCCTACAAAATCCATCAAATAAATTTACGGTTTTATATACATTTAATCAACATTGTTTTCTCATGGATTCAATTGGAGTTTAGTGAGGAGCATGGTGTTTAGTTTTATTGAGGAGAAAGATAATACATTGCGTTAAAGTTCCAGCTGTCTCTCTTTCTCCTCTTCTTCTCTTCTTCCTCTTTCTCATACCTCCTCAATATCTCAGATGAAAGGATGAGAGAGAGGAATTTGGTGGTTTTTTGCTTAATGTGTGGAGGAGGCTAGACAAATGTCATTTGCCACCCCTTTGCCCAATAATCCTCTGCCATTTGACTCATGTCCATTGTCCAAAATAAAATTGTGAGCAACCAGTGCATGCAGTGGAGGCTAGGAAAAATGCTAAGGTCCCCTCAACATTTTTAGATTGCACTAAGCTCTCCTTATCACCAAGACAATTAATATGATAGTTTAGCTTGTTAAGGAAAAGGAGAATAGTTAGGGTCACCACAGTTTGCTTCAACCGAATGCGCTGGTTCTCTCTTTTTTTTTTTGCCCCTTTCCTTCCTTCTTTACAACTCTTCGAGCTCAAGCTTCTTGCTCCAGTTTTTCCGCCCTTCCAAAATCATGCGTTTACCTTCTTAAATCATGCTATATCCTTAGGGAACATGTTATTTGTCTTTAATTGGCAAAATATAGTGACACTGTGTGTTTTTTCTATTAGGAAGGAGGATTTCCATGGCATTTGCTTCTAATTGCATTATTCTTCGTACTGCTCAAATTGCCTGGCCCATATTACCCATATTGGGGTCGCTTGTTGATTCCTCACTTTGCTAATGGTGGGCTGTGGAGGAGTATTTGGCTTGCTTTCATATGGTATAAACGGACTCAAAGCTTGCCTCTTGGTGATGATAAATATTAGTAGCATCAAAGGTACTTCTTATTACTTTTTTTCTTTTTTGTGTTTTCTTTTGTTTTCTTAGAGGCAATGGTGGTGAGGTACGTCTTGATCTCATATTTTTGGAGATTTATAAGGATGAACTTGTTCTGTAAACCGTATTTGTCAGGCATAATTGTAATGTGCTGTGAATTTCTCCTGACCAAAAGCAGATGAAATACTTAAGCTTCAGAACCAGCACCTAATGTGTAGCCTATTGGACCGCAAAGCTGCATCTTTCGACTTAGGTTATGAATCTTTATGAACAACATTTCTTTGACTATGAATATTCACATTTCCTCCCGTTCTACAAACAACAGCAGTTCTTTTATGGATTTTACCAGCAATGTTCACCAGTGGAATCAAAAGTAAGTAGCATAGATAAACTTTTACTAGCTTCAGAGAAGAACATTCTTCAAGCAATTCTTTAAAGCAAGAGTAATTCTTCAACTTTTACATACCGATTGAGAGCTCTGAAGCCTTTATCTTTGTTTCATATTTGTTAGTGGGGTTAATGCCTGGTCACATGCTATCTACCAATATCCAAATTTTCCTGTGAACAATGAGGTGGATAACTTCTCTTCCTCTCTATGAAAATTCCTCTTAACATACTTGCTTATGCTTTCAACCTGTCGACTATTCTCCTTCAATGAGATGTTCCAAACTAGAGGGCATTTTGCTTTTAAGATTCATGGAATTGGCGCCTGAATCACTAGCCCGAGATTATCACAGAACTTCAGAAATCTGTTGTGCTTTCGTATTGTATGGAGCATCCTTCCTGTACATGCATTCCCCTCCTTTTCTAAGTACTAGATGGCAAAGAACGCATTCTACTTCAAATTTTTGTGAATTTTGATTTTATCTGTGAGGGGAGCCTGTGGATTTTATATTACATGTCGATTAATTTATACAACCTAGTGTTGATCTCAAAGAATGTTGAAGGATTCAAACTAGGTGTCCATATGGGATCTCATTCTTACCTTAGATCATGGGAAATTTGGGATATGAGGAGAACAAAACGTTCACGGCTAGTTAGTGAATAGTGATAGGTTTTGGTGTTGTTCTCTTTAAGTTGCATCAAGCTCTTTTGGCATAGTTATAGAAGCTTTGTATGCTTTCTGAACTGTATGGAACCATTTTCCCCTCTTGTGGGATGCTCATCTTAAAACGTAGAGATTGTACTTCCATCTGGTAGTGTTTTATGTAGAACATAGTTTGCCTTTTTTCTCCCTTGTTCATCTAGTCTCATCTCTAGCAACTTATTCCAGGTTAATTTGGCCAATAGTTACTTCCCTGCTCTTTTTCTTGCATATTCTCTCTCTTTGGTTATCTATTTATCCAAATTTAGTTTCGAAGCCTGAAAGGAAATTATGTTAAACAGCACACACGGATATTTGATAGTTTGTATAGCATTGCTATTACGCAGCTTTACTCCGGCAAAAGTAAGATTATATAGGGATATTCAAATACACTGCTTAACACTCAGTACCATGATCTCTGAGCCTAACATCTTTTATTTCTTGTATCCTTATACTAACCCTATAAGGTTTATTCATAGCAGATGTGGGAAGCTTTTTGTAGGATTGTCAATTGTATATGTTATATTTTAGACATCAGATGAGATGTTCTTCTCACCTCGTAGAGCTATTGTTAAATATGTGGCTTTAAATATGGGCTGATTTCTTGAAAGTTAAGGGTGCAATATTAAGGGTTCTGTGCCATGGCAATGCTATTAAGAAGCCTGCATTTGCGGGCATCAGAACTTGATAGAAAAAATAAACTTTATATTATTTTAATGTGGAAGGTGTTCAGATATATTATCTTTCAGAAGGATCGTTGCCAAAATGAGGTATGATGTGAAGGGGCTCTTTCTTAGATCCTGACTGCATCTTTGCATTACTGTTTTATGCTCTGGTACCCAACTTTATTCTAGCTGCACTGGTCACACTGGCAACCACACTAAACCACATCTACTAAGAACAATTTTGATCCAAGTTCATAACTTTTAGTTTGCAACTTCACTACTTGGAACTGGTCCAGTTTTATCATGGCCTGATTTTGGCCAATAATTAGAGTGAAAATAATTTAGGTGGGTGCTGGTATGAAATAAACCATATCATATTTGGTCCAAAAATATTGCGAGAAAGAAAAAAGAATTAAGGCATTCCAACTGAATCTAACTGAAACTTGAATCAAGTGAAAAATAGCCAAGTGTTACTTCAAAACCAGTTTTAGTTGAAAATAGCCAAACTAAGATTGACTTAAAACTAATTATATGAAAATAAGTTTATATTTATCGAGATCAAGTATAACTAGACCAGCACCATCTTTTTTAGTTACAATTGCCAAACAGACCCTTAATTCTTCTTAAAAGCCAGGACCCTTCTAGCTCACCCCTACGGAGGAGCTTTTGCGACACCAATGACCTCCAAGAAATATGCAAAATTTTGATATTTGTACAAATCTTTGTCATAATGATTTAGCACCTCACCTTACTCATTTTCTTGCAATGGTTTGGAATGATCTTATTTCACAATCGGACTTATGCTTGTTTATCGTTCTAGGTTTTAAATATTAAGTATGATCAGGATTGCTTCAGATGGGGGTATCTCATATTGTATAGTGGAGATTGGATGGTATATCAGTAATATAAGCTCAATATCATGTTCATATCGAATTATATATATTATCTTTTGTTCTAGATGCCATGTACCTAATATAAAAGTATTAAAGGTGCACTGTCACAAATATAACCTTGGCAGGTACCTCCACAGCTACTGGAGCACTTACAATCTTCAAGGCTTAGAATTGCCTATAATTTTTTAAAATACTGCATATGCTTACTCGTGTAGAATTGGTTGAATGAAAAAGAAAAGCAGTAAAGAGGAGCCAATTCAGTACAGGAAGTGGGAGGAACCTTCTCTTAAAGAGTTAGGTTTAGGTTGCGCTTGCTAGGTTTCCTTTGTTTAGGTCATGTTTTGAGGCAGGCTACTGCTAACCTAGGTAAACCGTCGATAGTAGCCATAGCAATCCATGGCATGCGTATTGTATTAATTGAGAGGCAGATTGAAATTCAAGTTGCAAATTTTGTTTTGATGCAATCAACTTCCTTTCTGCTCTTCTGATTTAGAGCAGCAGGCGCAAATATAGTCGGCAACTTTCTCCATGATTCTCAACAAGTACATACAGATTATTTTCGTGCCTTTGCATTTCATCATGCATCTTGCACGAAGAATCATAGGCTTGCGTCTAGGTATTTCCTTTATCTTTACTTCTTTCCCCTTCTTCCGAAAATACTCATTATGGATTTAGGTTTTTGCACTTGAATTCAGTAGCCCGTATTTCCATCAGGTTGATTGTGGATTCAGATCACATTACTAATGTGAACCCACAGTGGCTAACAAAAACGGAAAAGGAGCCAGTCGAAACTTTGTCCTTAACGTTTACAAAAAAGTGTGTTGATCTCTATTAGGCGTCATGTGCTTCAATTATTAGCGACATATTCGTTATATGACCGGTGATTTGTACTAAATTTATTACATTGACCATCAGGGCCCGCCTTGTTATCAATAATTGCATGAAAATTTTTGATTATGACTTTTGAGGCTGCTTACTGGCGTGCGCTTGGTTTTACATCTGGATATTTTATCAGGAGATGGACTGGAGATTCAGCAGAATCGCTGTTTAGCCTACTTTATGTGTGCAAATTGAATCTATCAGAAACTTACATATATTTATCGGTGTTAATATCAATTCACATGCTATGGGGGTTGTTTATAGGTGTCTTTCGTATATGTATTGGTTTCCTCTAGTTGAGTATGCCTATATTTGGGATTATAATTATCTTTGGATCCGGAATCTGTACTCTGTTAGGATGACGTGAGTTCAAACACCAGACCAATGTGAATCTACGCACAGTTAGGATGAATGTGAGTTCAAACGCAGGACGAAGGTGAATACAGAGCGGCTCGCTGAGCGGAAAAGGCGCGAGGGCCTTCAAATTTTGGCTCCTTTATCTTCGAAACTGAAAGGGGGTCAATCTGTATCATGTGTAATGTGCTTTAATGATTAGTAAAATGTTATTATCTTTATTTAATTTATCGCATCGACTGCTTTTGACCTGTAGTTGGGACTCAGTAACTAAGAATGATTTGTACGAGGACAAATTTTCAATTTCGACCTATTTAGAACATTTATTGCACAAGTGAACCCCTTTTATACATATTTTTCAAATTCGACTCAGTTTCAGCCACTTGGTTGAAGCTGGGTCGAATTTGAAAAAAAAAAACTTACAAACTTCACGGGACTTGAATTGGATCAGAATTTGAAAAAAAAAAACATACAAACTTCACGGGACTTGAAGTCCCGTGAAGTTTGTAAGTTTTCTTTTTTCAAATTTGACTCTGTTTAAGCTATATGGTTGAAACTGAGTCAAATTTGAAAAATAAGTATAAAATATGTCGATTTTTGCAATTAAGTTTGCAAATAGGTCGAAATTAAAAATTTGTCCTTTGGTATGATGAATGTGCTATTTGTATTGGGTACTTTCTTCCATGTACCTACTTTACATTCTCTAGTAAAATTTTTTTTAAAAAAAAATAGAGTTTATAGTTCGTTTTTCATTTTTTTTCGATGCATGAGATGGCAAGTAGAAGGATCCAAATGTAAGTCTCTGAAAAAAAAGGGAATATAATTGTTGTCTTTGTGAGTTCAAAGTATACTCACGTATTCCTCCTCACTCTTTGCATTTATATCCATATTTTCGAGTGAACAGAATATTTTTTTTTTCCTATTTTATTCAGAAGTGCAAGTAGTTAGAGATGTTCGTATATGTTGTTATCCATGGCGATGATTCGGCTATGCCAATGATGTCAAATAAGATCCCTCATGTCGGAGCTTAGTCCAATATCTCTATTGAACATTCGCGCGCATGTCCGTTTAGTTTTCTTTCTTTTGAGGAACTCATGAGGTTTCAATGACTTAAATTGTTGGACAAATTTTTAATTTCGACCTATTTGAAAACTTAATTGTAAAAATCGATCCGTTTTATACTTATTTTTCAAATTCAACCTAGTTTTAGCCATCTGGTTGAAACTGGGTCGAATTTGAAAAAAAAAACTTATAAACTTTACGGGACTTCAAGTCTCGTGAAGTTTTATTATGTGACGAAACTTTACGGGACTCGAAGTCTTTTTTCAAATTTGACTCAGTTAAAACTGTATCAAATTTGAAAAATAAGTACAAAAAGGATCGATTTGTGCAATAAATGTTCTAAATAGGTCGAAATTAAAAATTTGTCCTTAATTGTTTCCTCTGAAACTAGACTAGTCTTTTTCCACTCACACAGGCTGCTTAGTATATTGTAATTGTAACTGCAGCAAATGTCACGTGTAGTAAATATTGCATATGCATCACGTTGCAAGAAATTAACCTGAACTTGTTCGTTTGGATATTTGCGTTTTATTATCAGAAATGTATTTTCAAATTCAAATTCCGTATTTGGTTCAATTTGAAAGAACTGTTTTTTTATTGCGGATCAAGGGTCTTCATTTAAGATGGAAAAGATTAATATTTTCAGATTCGTTTTTAACAAACTTGCTGACCTGGCATTAAAAAAAGGAATTGCAACATTTGTTGTGGCTAAATTTGGTTGAACATTTACAACCGCAACTCTATTTTCTGCCAATGAAATAGCCCCTGTGATGACAAGCATGAGCTGCATCTGTCTTCATCCTCTCTAATTAAAGACGTTCAATGTGACCTCTCGAGCGTTTGAATAAGGAATTTAAATCTTTGTAGAGCTTCGAAAGATGAATCTTCATGTCGATACACAAATGTATAGCTCAATAGGAACTTACCTCGTGCTATATCCACACGGTAAAAATTGAGTTCATAGTAAAAATTAGAGTTCATAGTCTTTAGAAACGCCATTTTCATCAGTGGATTTCTCTAGGGCTGTCCATTTTACCCCCGGGGCCCGGGGCCCGGGCCCCGGCCCGGGTTGCCTCGGCGGCGCCCGGCCCTGTAGATGTCTAAAAATGTCTATAGGTATGAATATACCTATCTAAGTCAAAGAAGATCATCCAAAGTGAAAAGAAGCAAAGGAACATGTGAAATAACATAGAAGAACAATATGAACACCCGCGATAAGGAACACTGACGCGCATAGGCGCGGCAGTGGAAGGTGTTGTGCTCACAAACAGAGTAATATGCCTATGGAAAGTTGTAGAGCTCTTCGATAGCTTTCCAACGCATCTTGGATCACCTCATTCCGATACCGGACGAGAGAGTTAAAGCCAAAATACCCGAGACAACGCAAACTGCATCGGAGGTGCGCGACAGTGATAACTACCGCGGCAATAGCGCGACAGTACAAGGTGACGCGCAAGTAAACAAAGTGAAGCGCCAATGGGAAGTTGTAGATCTCTTCGTTAGCTTTCCAACGCATCTTGGATCACCTCATTCCGACGTCGGACGAGGAAGTTAGAGCAAAAATACCCGAGACAGCGCAAATTGCCTCGGAGGTGCGCGGCAGTGATAACTGCCGCGGCAATAGCGCGACAGTACAAGGTGACGCGAAAGTAAACAGAGTGAAGCGCCAATGGGAAGTTGTAGATCTCTTCATTAGCTTTCCAACGCATCTTGGATCACCTCATTCCGACATCGGACGAGGAAGTTAGAGCCAAAATACTCGAGAGGTGCGCGGCAGTGGTAACTGCCGCGGCAATGCGCGACACCACGTACTGTCGCGGCCTACTAAATTTATTACATTGACCATCAGGGCCCGCCTTGTTATCAATAATTGCATGAAAATTTTTGATTATGACTTTTGAGGCTGCTTACTGGCGTGCGCTTGGTTTTACATCTGGATATTTTATCAGGAGATGGACTGGAGATTCAGCAGAATCGCTGTTTAGCCTACTTTATGTGTGCAAATTGAATCTATCAGAAACTTACATATATTTATCGGTGTTAATATCAATTCACATGCTATGGGGGTTGTTTATAGGTGTCTTTCGTATATGTATTGGTTTCCTCTAGTTGAGTATGCCTATATTTGGGATTATAATTATCTTTGGATCCGGAATCTGTACTCTGTTAGGATGACGTGAGTTCAAACACCAGACCAATGTGAATCTACGCACAGTTAGGATGAATGTGAGTTCAAACGCAGGACGAAGGTGAATACAGAGCGGCTCGCTGAGCGGAAAAGGCGCGAGGGCCTTCAAATTTTGGCTCCTTTATCTTCGAAACTGAAAGGGGGTCAATCTGTATCATGTGTAATGTGCTTTAATGATTAGTAAAATGTTATTATCTTTATTTAATTTATCGCATCGACTGCTTTTGACCTGTAGTTGGGACTCAGTAACTAAGAATGATTTGTACGAGGACAAATTTTCAATTTCGACCTATTTAGAACATTTATTGCACAAGTGAACCCCTTTTATACATATTTTTCAAATTCGACTCAGTTTCAGCCACTTGGTTGAAGCTGGGTCGAATTTGAAAAAAAAAAACTTACAAACTTCACGGGACTTGAATTGGATCAGAATTTGAAAAAAAAAAACATACAAACTTCACGGGACTTGAAGTCCCGTGAAGTTTGTAAGTTTTCTTTTTTCAAATTTGACTCTGTTTAAGCTATATGGTTGAAACTGAGTCAAATTTGAAAAATAAGTATAAAATATGTCGATTTTTGCAATTAAGTTTGCAAATAGGTCGAAATTAAAAATTTGTCCTTTGGTATGATGAATGTGCTATTTGTATTGGGTACTTTCTTCCATGTACCTACTTTACATTCTCTAGTAAAATTTTTTTTAAAAAAAAATAGAGTTTATAGTTCGTTTTTCATTTTTTTTCGATGCATGAGATGGCAAGTAGAAGGATCCAAATGTAAGTCTCTGAAAAAAAAGGGAATATAATTGTTGTCTTTGTGAGTTCAAAGTATACTCACGTATTCCTCCTCACTCTTTGCATTTATATCCATATTTTCGAGTGAACAGAATATTTTTTTTTTCCTATTTTATTCAGAAGTGCAAGTAGTTAGAGATGTTCGTATATGTTGTTATCCATGGCGATGATTCGGCTATGCCAATGATGTCAAATAAGATCCCTCATGTCGGAGCTTAGTCCAATATCTCTATTGAACATTCGCGCGCATGTCCGTTTAGTTTTCTTTCTTTTGAGGAACTCATGAGGTTTCAATGACTTAAATTGTTGGACAAATTTTTAATTTCGACCTATTTGAAAACTTAATTGTAAAAATCGATCCGTTTTATACTTATTTTTCAAATTCAACCTAGTTTTAGCCATCTGGTTGAAACTGGGTCGAATTTGAAAAAAAAAACTTATAAACTTTACGGGACTTCAAGTCTCGTGAAGTTTTATTATGTGACGAAACTTTACGGGACTCGAAGTCTTTTTTCAAATTTGACTCAGTTAAAACTGTATCAAATTTGAAAAATAAGTACAAAAAGGATCGATTTGTGCAATAAATGTTCTAAATAGGTCGAAATTAAAAATTTGTCCTTAATTGTTTCCTCTGAAACTAGACTAGTCTTTTTCCACTCACACAGGCTGCTTAGTATATTGTAATTGTAACTGCAGCAAATGTCACGTGTAGTAAATATTGCATATGCATCACGTTGCAAGAAATTAACCTGAACTTGTTCGTTTGGATATTTGCGTTTTATTATCAGAAATGTATTTTCAAATTCAAATTCCGTATTTGGTTCAATTTGAAAGAACTGTTTTTTTATTGCGGATCAAGGGTCTTCATTTAAGATGGAAAAGATTAATATTTTCAGATTCGTTTTTAACAAACTTGCTGACCTGGCATTAAAAAAAGGAATTGCAACATTTGTTGTGGCTAAATTTGGTTGAACATTTACAACCGCAACTCTATTTTCTGCCAATGAAATAGCCCCTGTGATGACAAGCATGAGCTGCATCTGTCTTCATCCTCTCTAATTAAAGACGTTCAATGTGACCTCTCGAGCGTTTGAATAAGGAATTTAAATCTTTGTAGAGCTTCGAAAGATGAATCTTCATGTCGATACACAAATGTATAGCTCAATAGGAACTTACCTCGTGCTATATCCACACGGTAAAAATTGAGTTC